TTTTATATTTTATTAAACAATAATAAAAATAACATGAAATGATTTTATTTATTTATCTGTGCGGGGACAAAATCAGCTGCCATATGACGTATTTAGGAGCACGCGGACAGTTTAATACGGTTATATTATCGTAGTCATAATCGTCTCTGACCAGGCTCGTTCTGCATGAAACGTATGACGTCATCAGTGCCACTGTAATCGCTCCTCGTGGACACAGCTGTTAACTTCACAGGTTTTTGAACGGAGTCTGGTTGAAACTACAGCGAGGGTTGTTTGAATGAGTTTTATGCAAACGTGTCAGGCTGAAGCAGAGTGTAGCTCACCATCCTCCTCCATCCTCATCTTCCTCCTGCTGCTGCAGCTGCGCAGTCACTGCGGCGGTGAAGAAGATAAAAGCGAGCCGCACCGCTTTGATCTCCATTCTCCCCAAAAGCTTCCGCGAGCTTCGAGCGAGCTCAGCCCCACAAATCAGCCTGTTTCTCCTCAGTGTCCCACATGAACGTCAAGTAAGCGCCGACTCCTACTTCCTGGACGACAGCCAATCAGAAAGGACCACATTAATCAGACCGGTTGATGCGTTCGAGGTGCGTGGAACGTTTGAGCGCCTCTGTAGATCGGTTTGTTTGTAGTCCTCAACTCTTTATTTATTTCAAGAGGCCCGTTTCCCTGCAGCACTGCTGTGACCCACCTGGAGCCGGTGACCTTGATAAAGTCCTGCTGTTTGTTGCTGCTCTCATGCAAACAGCACAAATTACAGCACATCTATTTGCATTCTTGTTTGACTAAACAAAAAATTTGCTTTCTAATCTGAGACCTAACCATCGACTGCACACCTCCAATTTCTTCCTCTATAATCTGTTTCCTGTTAGCTGCTCATTTGCATTTTCTATTTCTTGCATTGTGTTGTTCCAATACACCTGCTTTACATCTGATAAATACAGACTGCAGTATTTAAACATCAGCCGCCTGTTCAGAATGAAATTAAACACATTACACATCAGTTGAAATGTCTCATGATTCAGAGTCAAACTTGTTAGGATACAAAACCAAAGCAAGAACCATAATTCTATATTTATTACCATGTCACTATTTATTTAAATGAGTTAATCAACATGTAGCTGTACTGATGACAGAGGAATGTATATTTATTAGCTTGCAAATTAAACTCAGGACTGTAAGTGCAGTCAGAGCCATGAATGTGTGGACAGGGACAGCTTTTGAGTTTTACACTCAGGATGCGATTAGAGTTCAGACCTTCAGCTTCAGACCTTTAACACAAATGTTCAGCAGTTACAGACATTTTTATACGCAGCACCGTTTCAGAGACTCGGACACGAATGAAAAATTGAGCGATGAGCACTTGATGGGCAGGTGAGGCCTGTCGTCATCACACAGCTGAAACATCCATGAAAGTTAAAATCTTTGAGGACCAACAGAAACATCTTCCTTAAAATGATGCGAGCTGCAGAAGAACAAAGTCTGTTAAATGAAGAAAAATTGGAAATATAAAAGAAAAGTAAAAGAAGAGTGAAAGTAAAACTGCAGAGAAAGAAGGAAATGCAGAGGAGTGTTCACCTGCGTGCTCACAGGAAGACGTGCATCTTGCCTCCAGGCTGCAGTCAACACAGAGGCTTTTCTGTTTCTCACTCTGCTTATTGATTCAACAACTCGACAACCTCTGTTAACGGCCAGCAGAGAGGGCCACACGTCATCTAAACATCTTCGTAGCTTCATAACCTGCCGTGGACAGACAGAAACTGTGATTACATCTACAAAAACACCCAGCAGCGCCTCTCCCTGCTGACAGCAGCTTTCCTATAGAAAAAAACAAAACAAATCAGAGCAAAATAACCAGCCAATCATAAATCAGCACAGTCATTCGTGACCTTTCACCTCATCAGGACCCCGATGGAGTCCCTGCAGCTTGGACCCATAAAGAACTGCTGTTAACGTGATTAACCACTCGAAACGACATTTGATCTTTCTGATCGATAATGACGTTTATCTGATTTTGATGATCTGCAAAACATCAAACAGTTTATTTAACAGGGAGCCACAGACGGTATCAAAGTATGAAGGCCACACAAAAACCCACAGTTTAACAAGTCTTTAACAAGTACACACCGAGAACAGCAAAGAGGCGGAGCCTTTTACAACAGGTAAACTCAGGTGTGGTGGAAGAAAACAGCAGTTGTTCCTGTGATCACCATTAAAACCTTTACTGGGAAAAACTGCCGCGCGTCCTCCATCAAAGCAGCCGATGAACAAAGTCTGACATGAAGGAAAACAAACTTCCATCCACCGCTGTTTGTTACAGAGAAACATCTGCACCAGGCTCCAGGAGCTTATTAAAGCTGATTCATGTTTAGATGATACAGCTCAATGACGGCATATTTACACGGAAGCAGCAAACAGGGAGAGTCGTGAGGTGTACTAGACCAATGTTAGGGTTTTCACAACATTTTTCAGATTAAAAGTCAAATAATATAAAATACTGTATTCATTTAAAAACATCCTTTAAAAGAATAAATGTTATTTTAATATGACATGTACATACAAGCAAAGCATTGTTTTGAAAGATTTTATTTTCAGTTAAACTTTTAAATTGGAAACCAGTTAGAAGTTCATTTTCAAAGACCTGCTTTTTGTCCTCTGATATTCCTGTGTTGCTCATTAATAACACAAAAGCATTTCTTATTTGATTCCTCAATTAATTGATGGATTACACTGAAAGAATGGACAGCTGCAGCCTTACTTCAGATTGAGGTCAGCAGCTGTATCTTACTTGCAGAGAGAGGTTCAACTCATTTAACATGGAGGACCCAGTCAGCTGACGCTCGCTGGGCGAGTGATGCTTTCCTCTTCCTGCCAGTGTGATGACGTTTCACTGCACATTTAATCCCTCACATGTCTCCGTTTGACAGAGAGAAACATCATTTCATCAGTGTGTCCCAGTTTTTCCACATGATGCAGAAATGTGTGAAATTATTAATAAAGTTCTGACAGCTGCCCAGAAATTGTTAATCTTTTATTGTTGTTGTTTTTATTCTTAGACCCATGGTCTAAAAAACAAACAAACAAAACAGCAACTTTTCGGTCATGTAACTGTGTGACATGTATGAACGCCTGCATGGAAGGAGCTGTGAAATGCATGAAAATGCCGTTAAACTCCAAAATTGATGCTTTCCTTCACATTTTCTCAAGATATCCAGCGTCCCTCCCAAGAGGCTTTGCGGGGCCAATTCTGGCCACAGGGCCTCGCGTTGAAAAACGAGGGTTCACTAAAAATTGGTTCCACACATAGCGGGTGTGTGGCAGTGTGGGCTTAGCTGTGTTCAGTGGAAGCATCTTCCTCCTCTGACTGTAGTTACTGTGACTGTCATGAGATGCAAAACTGAAACACTGAGGGAGGCGGAGCACAGCTCAGGGTCAGCCACTACTTTTTGGTTACTGTTGCTGCTGCACGTCACTTTATGATGGGTGAGGTTTTATCTAAGGAGCCGCTCACATGATGATGTCACCAATGGTCGACTTTGTTTCCGAGGTAACATTAGTTACTCTGATGAAGGCCAAAGTCCCACATCCTCTCGATTATCATGCAGAATGAAATGATTACAATACATTATTTTACAGCTGCACACAGAATCCTGCACGTTAGGAAAATATGTTTTATTTAATAGAATAAAAGAGCACAGATATCACACCAGACAGTTTTTCACTAACATACCAAACAAACAGCAGCAGGTTTAAACACAGGCCACACAAATATCCCCGATTATTTTAATAAGATGTGCAAAAGTTAATAATAGTAAATATTCCTCCTGTTTATTGGACTTAAACAGAAAATCACAGTTACTGGCACTTGGCTCAAACATTTTAAAACATTAACGTTAATCAACAAAAAGAGATAAAAAGAGATAATAAAGTCAATAAAATGGCTTTAGTTTCTTCATCATGGTTGTACAAAGACTGATTTGTGTTTGTGCAGGTCTGAGATCAGCTTGGTTCTGTCTGAGATTCCTTCATATTTAGAGTTTTTCCTCCTCGCTGTCTCCGAGTGTTTCTCTCTGCTTCGACTGCTCTGAGACAGTTCGTGTTTGATTGAGCACAATGTAAATAGTGTGTGAATGTGTGGATGACGTAAAGCGCTATACAAATACAGGCCAATTACCAAATAAGATGAAAGTGAATTAAATCGTTTCAGAATGTGCCCCAGAGGGGCCGACATGGCAGCCTCGCCTCTGTCAGTCTGCCCCAGGGCAGCTGTGGCTACAAGCTGCCTCCACCAGGGCGTGAATGTGAGAGTGGATCAAAAGTGGTATTGTAAAGCGCTTTATAAATGCAATCCATTATTATTATTATTGTTAATATTATTATTCTAAATATAATCATTGGTTGATTTTATATATTAAATTCTAAAAATCAAAGAATACAACAATAAGATTTTTTTAAATGTTAAATTTTAAAATGTCATTTTATCAATTTATATTTGATATATTCTGTCTTTAAATTGTGAAAATATATTTTAAAATCTTAATAGTTTTTTTTACACCAGTGTTTTAGCTAAACATATTCAAGATAAGAGTTGTTGTAGTTATTATACGGCATTGCTAATTTCTTCCTTTTGATGTATTCTATCATATTGGGGTTTTTAAATTAAATTATTATTTGCTATATATATAGAGAGAGAAATAGAAAGTGATGGATGGCACAGTTTTAATTCAACGAAAACATTAATCAAATATAAAATAATTCTGCTAAAGCTTTTTTCAAATTGTTCTTTGAAATCATTTAAAGACTGATTTTCTTTTTCAAAATAAATGTATTTACAACAGTGCTCAGGCTCTATTGACGTAAAATATTTTATTTTTATAAATATACATTGCTTAATCATGTCGAACTTAACAAGTTTAAAGTCATTATTCTGCACTTAAGTTCATGTAAGGCATTGTTTATGCAAGTAATCAATCTTTTTTTTTTGGGGGGAGGGGGTTGTTTTTTTAATCTGTTTTAATGACTTGACAAACAAAAATAAAACCAAACATTCCCAGGATTCCCGGTTTGTCTGATGTTATCAAAACAGCAAAGTGAACTGGAAACAAGTGTGAACTGTTGAGCCTTCAGGGAACATTTTTCTGTTGTCTGAGAAACTGATGATGAAAATACAGTTTTTCCAGTGATGTTCAGCAGAAATGATGCATTCCTATGAGAGGACAAAGAGAGAGAAGAGGATGGGGAGCAGCAGAAGAACTGAGAGGTAGATGAAGTGAGCCGAGGAGGGCACAAAGGTGATGAAGCCCGGCTGGTTGGAGGTGATCTGGCTGTTGATCCAGGACTGGTACTGTGATACCCGAGTGTAGACTCCTGGGAAATTGGGCTGAGCGCAGCCTATCCCAAAGCTCACCACTCCAGCCTGGACCCAAACGGAGCTGTTTTTAACCACCAGTGGGCCTCCAGAGTCACCCTGCACACATCAGACATGGTGGTTATAGCACCAGCAGCCATGTGGATGCATATATGGATATATTTACATCTGTGTAAAAAGTGACAATATAAATGTATTATATTTGTATAATTGTGTGTGTGTGTAAATATCAGTCTGCCAATGAATTTGCTAACATTTGCGAGACACAATTTTCACCAAAAAAAACACAAATGTTAAATTCTGTATGAAAAAGATAAATCAATCAATTACCAATCAATCAATGGTAAACATTGTTGTAGTTCTTGTTACTGTGTTCATTTTTATATAACATAGTTTTTTAAGCTGTTTTTTAGCATTTACACTTAATTTCATTTATCTAATTTATGTTAATAACTTTAAAATAATCCGATTCCTCAGACAGTTTAAGTTGAGCCAGTTTTTCAATGTGATGAAAACATCTGGACACAAACTCAGTCAAGTCAAACTGATCTTCACAGTACGACAAAAGTGTGAACAAATGCATGTTTCATATTTTGGGTCCTTCAGAGGTTCCACTGTCTGCGTTGTGATTGGTGCTTTACATCGTGGCTTCAGACTCATTTGTAGGTGTTCACATGGACCCACACTCACCTGGCAGGAGTCCTTTCCTCCCTGAGTCACGCCGGCACACATCATGTTGCTTGTGATTCTACCATTGTAGGCATCGTTACAGTCGGTGTTGGACACGATAGGGATGCTCACCTCCTGTAGAGTCCCAGGGGAAGGAAGGGAAACTGAAAAAAACCAAACAGAAATGAGCAGTTTGAGGCATGAATCCACCACGTGTGAAGAAGATGCTTGGATACTGTCATATATTTATCTTTGATATCGTTAGAGTTGGTAGATCAACACTTGCAGCCTGTGTACACTCATTCACTCACTTCTGTTAAACTTGCTGTTTTAGTTAGCCTCAGAGTTGCTCTTCAAAATGTATTTACTTACATTTCCTGCAAAGTCAGAGACCTACTGTCATGGCCCCCGTGTCTGCCCGGACGGCTCCACAAGGCCACATGTGTTTCTGTTTACTTTCTCCTCATTACGGGCTCCCGCCCTTGGCTCACACACCTGCTCTTTTCCCGGACCCTGCGTGGGTACCCGCCGTGTGAATTTGAGTGAAGAGGAGGGCGAGTGTAAATTAGATTTTTCCCTTGGACCCCCACAATTCCCCCACTGTATATATCTGCACTTGGTGATTGTATAAATAACGTCATTCCTTGTATTGAACTCTGCTCTGTGCTTGGTTCCTCCCCTGAATGTGACAGAATCATCCAGCCAATGAAATGGACTCATTGGCTGACCCAGCAGCTTCCGCTCCTATCCTCGCCGCCTTGACAGCAATTTTGGAGCGCCATGAGCAAATGTTTGCTCGCACCAGAGGTGAGCTTTCAAGCCTTAAGCATATCAGCTGTCAACTGCATCATAAAGATCCAAGAGTAACTGCTCTAAAGAGTTTTGGCGCACAGGAGTTACCGCAAACACTGACCTCATTAAGATCACATGGATACGCCAGGAAAAGAAGAAAAGCAGAAGCTGAGTATGATCATAATCCGACTATAACAGTAAAGGTTAGTAACTGTCGCTGCTCCAGTTCTTACCGCCGTCTCGGATGTCGCCCCAGCCGGTGACCCAGGTGGTCGTCTCTGCAGGGAAGTTGCTGCCCTCCTCCGCCAGACACACAGGTCGGATGTAGTCCGTGAAGTCAACAGTTGAGGACAGCCGCAGCAGTGCGATGTCATTGTCGTTGGAGTTGGAGTTGTATTGTGAATGTATGATTATCCGTGACACTGACCGGGAGACCCCATTAGTATTAGTGCTTTGCAGTGACTCGTATCCGAGGTGAACGGTCAGTTGTGATGGGGTGCTGAAAATAGCAAGAAGTACTGACTGTTAGTGCTTAATTGATAGTTGACAGGTGAAGAGGGTGGGTCATATGACAGGGTGAGAGCTTACTTGGGGAAACAGTGGGCAGCAGTCAGGATCCATTCATTGTTGATCAGGGAGCCTCCGCAGAAGTGGCGACCGGATGCTTGCAGACTGACCTGCCAGGGCCACGCTCCCGCAGGAGCATCCTGGCCTCCTACGATCTTGGTGTTAAGTGGAGCTTGTCCACAAACTGTAGGCAAAGACATTTATGCACAAAGCAAAATTACTCTCAAACGTTCAAAGCTGGAGAGCAGCTCCAGACCAGATAACGCCGTGTCGGCCCATAAACGAAGCACGAGTGAATCCAGAGGTCAACAAATGAAAGCTCATCAGTCTGTCCCGTTTCAATGAGCCCAAATTTCAGGAACATCTTAAGAGACTTTGGAAAATTCAAAATCAAAACTTAGTGTATTTCAAATTCCTCTTCATAATGAATAGAGGAATATGGGACATCAGACTACTTGTTCTTATTGTTTAACGATGAAGAACTGCCGTACGAGGAAAAAAACCCTGAGAATAATACAGCTGAAAAGCATTTTATTCATACATGTTCTTATCCATTACTATTACCTACTATATTGCAAGGTTTGTGTCCTGGCCATTTGTCCCAAACTGCATCTCAGTAAAAGAAATTCAATTTGCATTTTATTTATTAGAAACTCCTCTGCACACACACGGCTCTACACTTGGTTTACAGTGTTCAGAAAACACAGTTTATACCGTGTGTGTGTGTGTGTGTGTGTCGTGTGTGTGTGTGTGTGTGTGTGTGTGTTGTGTGTGTGTGTGTTTGTACACACATCGAGCTGTGCAGTGCTCCTGTTTAGAGACAATAAAAACAGAACATGATGTATTTGTATAGATCTCCTGAAACTGAACAGGCTGGTTGTTCAACGTAGCTGTTAAGTTCTCTAGGTTGGAGCTGAATGTACAGCATGAAGCCAAACAAAAGACGGAAACTATGTCTTTGTCTTTGTCTGAGACAAGAAAACGATGATCTTGAAAGACAGGACATATCAGGAGGCCACAGTAAGAACACGAATGCACAGAGAGGTTGTGGTATGAAGAAGCGCGGCATTAAAGATTTTATCTTTCCACAGTTGATGGTTTGACTGACAACAAATAGCCCCATTACCAGCCTACTTTTGAATGCGAACATTTACAAAACATTCTGCTTTATGCTTCATTAAATTTCAGAGGGAAATCAGCTACTTCCTGTCATTGTGGAGATTTTAAAAGACTGTCAACAAAAACATTAAATTTAAAGAATGAAAAACTCGATCTCATTGCAGGCCGACATGGGCAACTCTTTCTTTTTTTACTCATCTGCGAACCCAACAGGAAGTCGTTGAATAAACACTTTGTTCACCAGCGTGGTGTTAAGAGGAGAACGACCCTGGAAATGTCACATTTAACACATCACTGAAATACAAAAGTTTAAATAAAGCTTTCAATGAACTTTTGTATTTCCATAGTCGGCGGTTTTTCTCTACAGTACTTCCTGTTTTAATGGTCACATGGTTTTTACCAGTGATGCTCGGTCTATACCGATATGGGGTCCATGCTAGTGTAACCAAGGCTGATTTCTGCTTGCAGTGACATAATTATTGTTTCTGATCCAACCTGTGTGAGAGAACGGCCTCTGAGACGAGAGCGTTCAGTGAAAGGTAAAACCCACCCACGTGTCGATACCTCAGTATGAATCATCAGCAGGACACCGAGAATCAAACCGGCCAGCCTGGTTTTTTTTAAACCGAAAAAAGCTTTGACGTGACCTGAAGCTCCTTTAACCTGTATGACTTCAAAGCTCTTTGACTTGTTTACTTTAGTCTACAGCTCTTAAATGAGCAGCTGACGTCATGTTTTCTTTTCCAAGAATTTGTTTGTTCTGTGGGACACGTCGGGAACATCAGAGCTCCTACAGTCTAAAAGCATGATGTGAGAAAACCAAAGAACTTTATGGTGAAAGCACTTTTCTGGTTCCTTTTAATGTTTTAGCAGGAAGATTCTTTTAAATCATGTCTAAAATAAAATGTTTTATTTTTATTATTACTGAACTGCATTATTTGATGAATTAAAGCTGTTCTTTACTCACAGCTTGACTCCGTCTGAACTCTGACCTGTGATGTAAGAGGAAGCAGGAAAACACGCTTTTGTTGCTTTTTATGTTTTAAATGATTACAGGGACGATCTGTTTTATTATTTTATGATGAAGTCATGATGGCGTGATCATGTTTGTTTTTCTCAGCTGATTTCTCCTTGTTTTGTAATTAATGTTAAATTAAAATACTCTTAAAAACTTTTATTGGAATCAACTTTCAGTCCTCGACAGATGAGGAAGCCCCCATCCATCAGGCCCTCAGGGCTGAGCAGCTGACTGTCACCATCAGTAAAGCACGGCGGCGCTGTCATCACGCTTTAGAAACTCATTCAGTGTGCCCGATGCTACCAGTGCATGCGGGCATCTCATAGGTATGTACACAATGTGCTCTGGCATCATCACTATGACATATGGTAGAGGTTACCGCATCTTCCGGGCAAGACAGAAGACTCAAGAGGAGCTTCTATCCCCAAGCCATCCGTGCTCTAAAACACACACCCGCCTCTCACATCATCATAAATGACTGAGCAGACTCTTCCAGACACTAAACCAAGGACAATGTCATTTCAATTCCATTTATTTAAATATGTTATATTGCTACCTGAAATAGTAGTCAAGTTATTCATATTTTACAGAATTCACCTGCTTGCTGCTACTACTGACAATCACCCGAATATACATACGTATATATATATATATAATGTTCTTCCTCTTTACCCCCCCCCCCCCCCCCCCCCCAATCTTTTAGCTCTTAAATTTTTCAATGTCGAGAGCTGTAGGCTACATTTCCACTTGTGTCATTACTGTATAACTATGCACATGTGACAAATAAGAACCTTGACTTAACCTTTAATCTATTCCTGCATTGTTTCTGTTCAGGCTGAAAGAGACAAGTTACAAATTGTTTCCTGCAGGCGAACTTTATTCACTTCCTCTTATTATAGCAGCCGTGCTGTCTGATCCATCAATCACAGCAACCCTCATTTAGAAAACACTTAAAGGCTGACAGTTGTCTTGGACTGACTCGATGCCTCAAGCATATAGAGAACTTGCAGTTTTCAGTATTTATCAAATTAATACATTCAAATATTCCTGTAAAGCCACCTGCCGACCAATGTAAAATGTCAAAATATTGACTTATCTGTGATATTTCACGACCTTTATCCAATACACATTCATAGAACTACCGTTGAAACTGGATCTATCTTATTTATCTTTTATTTCTTGAGTTTATATTCTGGTGCACTCTTTGATTTTCTGTTATCTGTGCCATACCGTGGGTCTGTAAATCTATCTTCAACTGGTACATTTACAATGAATTCACTCCCATGACTGCTCAATTGAAACTACCACAGATCTCTTACAGGACAGTCGCCGACAGGATAGGAAGTTCAGATATTAAAAGTACTGACTGACTTACATTTAAAAACCTTAATGATGAGCAGAAGGATAACACTACAGCAATACAACATTGTATGCTTTTATTGATGCTGAACATTTCCAGTACATGAATTGTTATTTAATTAGTTGAGTAAATTGTGATTTTACATCCTTCTAAACTTTAACATTAGATTATATCTCTGAATTCTAGTGAAATAGTACAAAGTATAAAACATCTTCTACCTTTAAATCTCAGATTGTTGAGCTGTTTTTGTGGCTCTTTCATTGTTCGGTTCATTTCTGGTAATCGTCGCTTTTTATTTTCTGTAAGCTGAGCAACGGTTCTGAAAAGCGCCAAGGCTCATCTCAGAACACGGACAGACTCGTCGGAGCGTGTCGATGAAACAGAATTACAGATTGTAAACGCAGACTATTTAATTTTGTTGATGTTACAACCTGAACAAATGTGTCCGACGGCCATTCATACTTACAATATTGAATTATACAATTTGTAAAAAGAGACGAGATGTTCTTTGTATCATCATTTAAATTGCAAAATAAATGAGATTGTGAGTCTTAAATCTCAGGTGAGACTCACCTGTAAGCGTTAAGGCCAACAGCAGGACTCACATGAAAACAGCTCCATCCCCACAGAGTCTTTTCTCAAAGTGTCCCAACTCCAACGGCAGGAGTCTGTAAAGCACGAGGGCGTGACCGCCTGCATCATACCTGACCGTCAGCCAGCTGAGCACACGCCACAAACACACCTGACACACCTTCTTCTGAAACCAAAAGCAAACACAGATGCGAACAGACCGCACTGCTCACGGTGCTAATGTTGTTGTCCTGATTTGTTTTTATTGATATGTTTACATTCATACAGATTTTCCGCCAGTTTTCCTGTGAAAATGGTTTCATTTTTATTCATTTGCCAACAAAATATGTCAAATATTAAAAGCATTTCTGTATTTTATTTTACAAATATTATTACTTAGATTTTTATGTTCACTCTTCTTCTGACAAATAAAGTCGTCTAAGGAAAGAGAGCTCCTTAGACGACGATGACCTGGATGACTGAGAACCTTCACCGACAAATAAAGTCACAAACACTTTTCTTTATATTTCTATTTTATATTTCCTTCCGCACCGATCGACCTCTGCCCCGGTTACTAACGACTGTGCTGCCTTTAACGCTGCACCTGAGATCACAGACCAATTGTAAAGTCAGATGTGACGCTGATGGAGAGATCGGTGCAGGGCGATGGAGATGCAATCGTTTCAGTGAGATCTCATTCATGGAAGTGATGTGAGACACACGGAGCAGCCAAAGCTCCGC